AGACAAAGTTTTCCCAGTTGCAGGGGATATAGATTGTGATAGTTTGGGGATAAATTCTGAGCTGAAAGATGAGATGTGCAGAGAAATAGACATAATTGTAAACTCAGCTGCAACAACTAGATTTGATGAAAGGTACATAAAGAATGAAATTCTTTTTCATAAATTAGAATGAAAAACTTTATCCCATATTTTCGCAGATATGATACTGCAATAAGGACCAATGTATTGGGTGCCATGCATGTTCTCAATTTTTCCAAGCAGTGTTCAAAACTTATGATGCTTCTCCATGTAAGCACAGGTCAGCTCCATCATTTATATATATGTGTGTTCTCAACCAAATTTCATTATCATGCGACTTCTTTGGGCGTATTAACTTTAGCATAAGGACTGATTCTTTTCAGCCCATGTTTGTGGGGAAAAGGAAGGATTGATACTAGAGAAGCCATTGAACTACGGTGAGACGCTTAATGGAAGCTCTCACTTAGACATAGACATGGAGCAAAAGTTGGTAGAGGAGGCACTAAAGGAACTTCAAGATAGAAATGCCACTGAAAAAGAAGTTAGGCTAGCTATGAGAGTTCTAGGTATTGAGAGGTAAAGCTATTCATAAGATCGATCTATCTCATCAATCAATATGTCCTATTCATTCAAGACAAGTATATATTCTTCAGGGCAAGGCAACATGGATGGCCAAACACATACTCATTCACAAAATCAATGGGAGAGATGCTTTTGGTACACCTCAAGGAGGATCTCCAACTCATAATTCTACGGCCAACGATTATATTGAGCACTTACAAGGAGCCATTCCCTGGATGGATTGAAGGAATGAAGTAATAATTATATACCATTTAAGCACACAAGGAAATTAAAGAAGAGTAATTCTTACTAGTAAACCAATATAATCTGTTTCTTTCTTTCCACAGAACCGCGGACACGTTCATCGTTGGCTATGGTAAAGGAAAACAGAAACTTGCAATGGGTGGCAGAGAAACCATAACAGATGTGGTATGTGAGTCAGTCATATGTATATATAGGGTACCTTTATGTCAGCTGGTATAAATCAGTTCATCTACGTACATTTTGAGTTCCTAAGTATTTACTAATTCCTTAATGCCATCTTGCAATTTTGCCTAGATTCCAGCTGATATGGTCATAAACTCAGTCATTGCGGCTATGGTAGCCCATCGAAATGCATCTTCCCGTGTAGCTGTTTACCATATTAGCTCGTCTAGGAGGAATCAAATCAAACTTGGTGATTTTATACGAATTGGCGTTGATTACTTCAAGAAGAATCCATGGATTGACAAAAGAGGAAAGCCAGTCAAAGTGAAGAAATTTCACTTACTGGATAGCATGGATAGCTTTCACAAATATATAGCAATCCACTACATGCCATCATTAAAGGTTAGGTTTGCATAGTAAAAGAGGGAAGATCCCGATGAATAGAAAAAGAATACAAAAGTGTTTATGAAGGATCATTTTAACATGTTTCAGATATTAAAGTGGGGAAACTTGATACTTTGCCGACATTTGCAAGTCCAGCACACAAACTTACAAAGAAGGATCAATCAAGCCATTGAACTAGCTGAACTCTACAAACCTTACATGTTCTTCAAAGGAATGTAAGTTTATTATTTGATATATATACTATACTATACTAGTGGAAACTAATTAATCAAACTTAAAAGTTTTTCCAAATTGATACTCTTAACACCCATTCATGCTTGATTTATCCCAGTTTCGATGATACGAATGCTGAAATGTTGCGAATGGCAACAAGAGAAAGTAATGCAGATGATACATTCAATTTTGATCCGACAACCATTCAGTGGGATAAATACTTGAAGGAAACTCACATTCCCGGAGTAGTAAAGTACATTTTCTAAGAAAGTAGAATAATGAAGTTATCTACTTCCAAATAAAAACTTGTGTTGCTGCTTAAATTCCATTAATCCGTTCAATAAACTATTTGCAATGTAATAATATACTTCTATGTTACTACTTACTTTATCAGAAGAATATATAGCTATTAGACAACAACAATGTACCGTAGTGGCTATTTCCGAAAGACTATCGGCTCAGCTAATTAGAAAACAACAAAGAAAATGGATATTTCCAAATAAAAAGTTGTGTTGCTGCTTAAATTCCATTAATCCGTTCAATAAACTATTTAACTGAATTATTTTTATGTATGAATATTCTTTGTGTTCAATTATGTGTCAATTACGGAGGTATCAATATTCCACGCTAAAGAAAATGGAACTCAAGATTTATTTGTATGACAATACCATATGTCCAAGTCCAACAAATGATAAACTTCAACACAATTTGTTTGGGGATTGGAAGGGAAGAGGGGACTTGATCAAGCAAACTTGTGTCTTGTGTAAACAAAAGTTGAAACACTAGAGAGAGCCAGCCACCCATTTCCCATCTTAATAGTAGTGTATATATTGGGTAATTACTAATTAGTGTAGTACTTTTTTCTAATATTAAATAAATTAAACAATTTGTGTTTTAAATCTTTCAAAATATACCTCTTTAAGTGCCAAATTATATGAGAAAAAGGACATGGTAAAAATGAATTTACATGTTTAAGGCAAACTAGAATACATAGACAACTTTCAAAACTTGGATTTGTCAATGATTCTTATATTACCCTCTATGTACTATAATTAGTAATTAATTAATTACTACTAATCAACATGATATTGGAATAATGGGAGATGGAATTAATGACTTGCCAAAGTTTTGGTAGAATCTGCCTAAACTACTGTTATCCATTGGGCTCTAGATCTGACCTTCTAATGCATTAAGCTGTTTGTCATATGAGATCCTATTGTAATTATTTTGCATTAATAATAAATATGTATATTATTTATTATAGAAACAATTGTTACAAGATATATATATATATATATATTAATATATTCAATCAGATAACAAGACTTTAGACTCTTCTCTAAATACTTATATTGCTTATATGATAATATTAACAGATTTCGTAGCAGCTTACTTGAGAGGATCAACAATGTCTCAAGAAAAAATAAATAAATTGGCTATATGATCAATTGGAAAAGAATTTAGCAGAATTATAGAAGAGATTGACTATAACCAAAATAACTAAAAAATTACACTGAAGAATAAAGTTCAATAAAGATAAAAAGTAAAATTTTACTAAATAAGTTTAAGGTGTTTTATTAAGATTTAGATTTAGGCCACTAGCTATGCTAGGAGTGCCCCTGGCCTTAAACGCTCATCGAAGGAAGCGTGAAAGTAAACAAGCACCTCCATTATTGAGTTGCTTGGTGGGGACCATATGTTATCGGTCCCAAACTTAAATTAGTACTGCCACCCCTAAGGTCGGCGGAGTTATAAATACACCTCCATCTTTAATTAAAAGTCTCAGGGTTTGAGCTCTAGTATGGAGTCACCTTTAATAGTGACCATTTTACCCCACTTTTCATTGCAAATCCAGATTAATCGACCCCCACAATTCGTACTGGACACCCGATGAGAAATCAAAAAAACTAGTACTGCCTATCTCAAGATATGACTTTGGTAATTCACTATAAATTATTGGGCAGGACAACAATTACTATCTGCACAGATAGCCTACATTTGTTTATGTGCAAATGCAATACTCAATTTTCCAGTTGCTTATATGAAAAATGACAAGTAAAGTAAAAAATTATTTTTAAAATAATGAACAAGTAACAGAGAGATACTAAATGACTTGCCAAACTTTTGGTAGAATCTGCCTAAACTAATTGTTTTGCATTAACAATAAAAATGCACTTTATTCATTATTCTGTAAAGGAGTGCAAAGTCTTGTTGACAAATAGAAATGAATCAGTTTTTAATTTTTTAATGACAAGGAAAATTTACCGCTGCTAGTCTGCTATCCTTTGGGTGCATACAAGATAAAATTCTCGTTTCTATGCAATAGCTCGCAAATCACACAAGAGAGGTAACCCGCACTAGGCAAGCCCGGTGTGACGAGCTCGACCCAGAAGACAAACTCCTTGCTTTCGCTGACAAGGGGTTTTGAACATGGAATCAGGATTCAGGAGTTACAATCTCTGTCATTGACTTCTAGACTTCTTTAAAGGAATTAGAAGTGTTAAATTGTTACTGCTTATAAGTAAGACATACATATATAGTACTAATACTTTAATTAATATACTCAATCAGATAACAAGACTTGACTATTCTCTGAGCATATACTTATATTGCTTATAAGATAATATTAACAGATTTTGTAACTGTAACCTCAACTTAAAGAATCTTTTCAAGATTAAAAAAATGATAAGATCTTACCTGATAGGATCAACAATGTCTCAATTAAGAAAATTTAATTTGATCGAGTATATATGATCAATCGGAAGGAATTTAGTACAGAGGAGATTGATTATAACTAAAACAAAATAAAGTAATAAATTTTGCTTCTCAAGAAGACTGAAGAATAAGGTGAAATTTTACTAGATATATTTCATATGTTTTATTAAGATTTAGATTTAGGCCATTAGGCACTAGCTAGCTCCACTATTGAACTGCACCTAAGTAAAACTAGAACTGTCATCCCTAATATTGTGGTGGAGTGATAAGTGTTACTCCATTATTAATCAAAGTTTGAGCCTTGTGTATGGCGCGAATCCGGATTAGTCTGCCCCAAATTGAGTACCGGACACCGTACCAATGAGAAATCGGGAAAAAAACTAGTACTGCCTATCTCAAGATAAGACTCTGGTAATTCACTATAAATAGTTGGACAGGACTACAATTGCTACTGCACAGATAACCTACATTACTTTCTTGTTGAATATTTGGTATGTAACTGAAAATCCAGGTGATTTTGTATATGTGCAAATGTAATACTCAGTTTTCCAGTATAATTTCCCTACAATACATACTTTTCCAGTACTTGCAACACGATAATATCTAATGTGTATATATTTACATTATTAATTTCCTTCATCTCTAGCTCACATTCTCCATCAATGGAATCGTGCTGCATTGAGCAGTTTCTCGAGGGAAAGACCATTTTCATCACTGGTGCAACGGGCTACCTTGCAAAGAGTAATTTCTCCATCTCTCTCTCCCCCTTACGGTTGAACTAATAGTGCTTTGTGAATAATATTAGTATTGCTACTGCTCCTATTGAAAATTCTTGCAGTTCTCACTGAGAAGATACTCAGAGTACAACCAAATGTGAAGAAGCTCTACTTGCTAATAAGAGCTCCAGATTCAATTTCAGCTAAACAACGCTTTAACAACGATGTATATATATACTACCAGACTACTACTCCTATATGATTGTATGCAGCAGCAGTAGAAATAATAGCAGCTAGCACATTAGACTACACGTCCGTAATCATGCATTACCACATGAGAATTCAAGATTATCACAGTTCACTGCTCAATATGATGTTTTAAGTGAAGGTTATAAAAACTAATCTGTTCGGAGTTCTGAGGGAGAAGTTGGGCGCCAACCTACATAACTTTATAGAAGACAGTTTTCCCAGTTGCAGGGGATATAGCTTGTAATAGTATGGGGATAAATTCTGAGCTGAAAGATGAAATGTGCAGAGAAATAGACATAATTGTAAACTCAGCTGCAACAACTAGATTTGATGAAAGGTACATAAAGAATGAAATTCTTTTTCTTAAATTGGAACGAAAAAGTTTATTCCATATTTTTTCAGCTATGATACTGCAATAAGGACCAATGTATTGGGTGCCATGCATGTTCTCAAATTTTCCAAGCAATGTTCAAAACTTATGATGCTTCTCCATGTAAGCACAGGTCAGCTCCATCATATATATATGTGTGTGTTTAACCAAATTTCATTATCATGCGACTTCTTTGGGCGTATTAACTTTAGCAGAAGGACTGGTTCTTTTCAGCCTATGTTTGTGGGGAAAAGGAAGGATTGATACTACAGAAGCCATTGAACTACGGTGAGATGCTTAATGGAAGCTCTCACTTAGACATAGACGTGGAGCAAAAGTTGGTAGAGGAGGCACTAAAGGACCTTCAAGATAGAAATGCCACTGAAAAAGAAGTTACACTAGCTATGAGAGTTCTAGGTATTGAGAGGTAAAACGATTCATAAAATCAATCTATCTCATCAACCAATATGTCCTATTCATTCAAGACAAGTATATATATATATGATTCTTCAGGGTAAGGCTACATGGATGGCCAAACACATACTCATTCACAAAATCAATGGGAGAGATGCTTTTGGGACACCTCAAGGAGGATCTCCAACTCATAATTCTACGGCCAACAATTATATTGAGCACCTACAAGGAGCCATTCCCTGGATGGATTGAAGGAATGAGGTAATAATTATAAACCATTTGAGCACACAAGGAAATTAAAGGAGAGTAATTCTTATTAGTAAACCAATATAATCTGTTTCTTCCTCCCACAGAACCATGGACACGTTCATTGTTGGCTATGGTAAAGGAAAACAGAAACTTGCAATGGGTGGCAGAGAAACCATAACAGATGTGGTATGTGAGTCAGTCATATGTATATATAGTGTACCTTATGTCAGCTGGTATAAATCAGTTCATCTACTTACATTTTGAGTTCGTAAGTATTTACTAATTCCTTAATGCCATCTTGCAATTTTGCCTAGATGATATGGTCGTAAACTCAGTCATTGCGGCTATGGTAGCCCATCGAAATCCATCTTCCCGTATAGCTGTTTACCATACTACCTCGTCTAGGAGGAATCAAATTAAAATTGATGATTTTATACGAATTGGCGTTGATTACTTCAAGAAGAATCCATGGATTGACAAAAGAGGAAAGCCAGTCAAAGTGAAGAAATTTCACTTACTGGATAGCATGGATAGCCTTCACAAATACATAGTAATCCACTACATGCCATCATTAAAGGTTAGCTTTGCATAGTAAAAGAGAGAAAGATCCCGATAGGCAGGAGCGATGAATAGAAAAAGAATACAAAGGTGTTTATGAATGTTGACATACACTTCAGCATTGATGGCCTACCACTAGCTAAGTTTATCATTTTAACATGTTTCAGATATTAAAGTGGGCAAACTTCATACTTTGCCAACATTTGCAAATCCATCACACAAACTTACAAAGAAGGATCAATCATACCATTCGACTAGCTGAACTCTACAAGCCTTACGCGTTCTTCAAAGGAATGTGAGTTTATAATTTGATGCCCCTTCCTTCCTTCCTCTTAATTCTATGTTAATATTGATTTAGACACCTCGATGTAACGTTTGATATACTATACTAGTGGAAACTGAATGATCAAACTTAAATTTGTTCCTAATTGATACTCTAACAACATTCATGCTTGATTTATCCCAGTTTCGATGATACGAATGCTGAAATGTTGCGAATGGCAACAAGAGAAAGTAATGCAGATGATACATTCAATTTTGATCCGACAACCATTCAGTGGGATAAATACTTGAAGGAAACTCACACACCCGGATTAGTAAAGTACATTTTCTAAGAAAGCAGAATTATTTGAATATAGGAAGTTTTCTACCTCCAAATAAAAGCTTGTGTTGCTGCTTAAATTCCATTATGTTGTTTTTTAATCAGTTCAATAAACTATTCGGATTATTATAATTTATATGTAATAGTATTGAAGGAATAATTTTATGCTACTTTATTTATCAGAAGAATATATAGCTAATTAGAATACAACAACAACAACATACCAGGTGAAAGTCTGGGAGAGAGTAGAATGTAGCTAGAGAGGCTGTTTTCGAAATACCCTCAGCTCAGCTCATTAGAAAACAACTTTAAATACTTATTATGCATTTATAATCCAACACAATTTAGCAAGTGTAGTCCAAATTGATAATTAGGGAGAGATCTGTTAAGAAGGATGAACCTTTTTAGAGTGAGAAGAAATTGCTTTAAAAGCAGATTTCATTGAAGCACCAGCAGAGTTAACAGCAGTTTCAATATACTTTTTTGCAGCAATTGTAGCCACTTTCTCCATAGTTTTCCCCATATTTCTAGCTCTTTCAGCAACACTCACAAGGCTATCATACTCAGATTTAGCCATCTCATTCATTTCCTCTTCAAATCGGCGAAATTCATCCATGGCTTCTTCCATAGCAGTATTAAGATGATCCTCTGCTTCTTTCATGAAATTCTCAGCTTCTTCAACTTCTTTTTCTTGATCCAATTCCATGGCTGCCCAAGCCTTGTAAGCCTCCACTTCAAAGAGCTTCATCAGATCATCTTCTATATTGTACGGATCGAAGTTCTTGTCACAAAGAGCTTGCTCCGAAAGAATGGCGAATTGAGCAAAAAGAGATTCCATTTTTTTTTCTTCTAGAATTTGGGGATGGAGAAAAATGATTGAAACAGGAACACCTATTTGGTAAAGGAATGTCAGATGAGGGTCCTTGAAAGCACACCAACGGTTAAGTTGAATTTCATACGAGAAGTAACTTTTTCCTTTTACACGAATTCAAATTAATCCCAAATAAAATTAATACGCAACAAAGACGATAGAGTAAGTAGCGTTTGGACATGCAATTTCATATACACTTGGACATGTGATTTCATATTATGACATGAAATTTCAAATTCTTCAAAAAGCGTAATTTGAAAATTATCATGATTTGAGATTTTTAACATGCAAATATTGACTCACGAGTTTATATTTTATAAAAATAACCTCACATTTATATCTACTAAGTACTAACCATTTATTTTATATGTAAATAAAGTTTATAATTTATATCATTACTTTTAAAATCATTTATATCTCATATAACGATTCTTCTCACTAACATAAAACTTATTATTACTTCAAATCAATTCTTACTTTACCATTTATATTCAATAAAATTCATTATTTTATATCAAATTTATTTACCAATCAAATTAACCAATAAATGGCTTAAAATAGCAGTGTTGGTTTGTCTTTTCAGTCATGTGATCAAAAAATGTAAGTTCAAAGTGTAGGTGTAATATACCACAAATACAAAATATTACACTTGAAAATAAAATGACAAAAATGAATAATCAAATCTTTAGGCTGAGGTGCGGATATCTCGCTCTCTTTAAGGAGATTCAAGCTCACTACAACATAATCTATACAGATCCAACGGTAATACTCTTGACTTGTCCCCTCCAAGATACAACAACCCAATAACATCGTACAACTCAAACAACTTTGAATTAGTTGAAGAGTCCAAAACTCTACAAAAAAAAACACCTTCCTTCAACATGTAATTACTCTTTTGTTTGTATAGTGAATATAGTTGAAGACTTAGAATATTTTATTTGTGTCAACTCTCTCTTTCCCTACAGTTACCCTCACTACACACTACAATATTTTTCCACACTCCTCATCTTTTTTTACCTCCACTTCACAAAGGAAGAAACACCACTATTTATAGGTGAACAATTCTTCCTTGCAATGAATAGGAAGATAATGAGTAGTAAATTGGGTAAATGAATAGCCCAAAGGTTACATAAGTTACAAGATATAATGAGTGAAATTAGTGGTAGATCATGACAATAGTGGTTACAAGAATTACACCAAGATAATGACCACATTCTTGTCAACTTATACTCACTAATATATGCACTTAATATTTAAATTTTAATATTAAAATGCATAAACACCAACACAAAGTGAAAAATTTGTCCGTACTATGTGGAGATGATTATATTAAGACTAGTACGTCATAACTTTCAATATTTTTTTATTAAATTAAAGTTTGATCAATAAATGTGTATATTTTTTTTATAATAGTTTGTGATAGTGTATTATGAGATTTTATAAATTTTTACTTATTTGGTAAGATTGTATAAAGAGTTGAGACAATTTTAATAGTTTTACCACTTATGAGATTTTTATGTTCATAAGAAAAAATATAACACAAAAAATTTAAATTACGTGTCCAAATAGAACTTCAATTTATCTCATAATTTCAAATTATGATTCAGATCATAATTTTATATCGCATGATTAAACGATTTTATATTTCTAGATCATAATTTCATATCGCATAAACAAACGAATCCTAAATGTATATGTTAATAATGAGGGAGGTACTGAAGTGGGCCAGAAATGTTGCGTTTTTGTCAAAGCCATCAATCCTCATCCCCCACGGACAATTTTGTGGGTGGGTTGATTTATAATTTTGCTTATTCGAGGTGGCCAATTACATCGAAAAATTATTGCTGAAATCGAATAAATACTAGTGGCCCTAATCTCTTGTCAACATTAGGTCATGCTACACTACTATAATCACACCCAAGTCATGAATTCAAGTCTCATCGAAATTCATTCACAAAATAATTTCAAAGTAATCTCAAGAAAATGAATTAGACCACAATCGAGAGAATGCGTTTGAGATAAATAAAAAAAAAAGTGTGAACTAAAGATGAAGGAAATTAACAGGATTAAATTCATGATGTAAATAATTGTACATTAGATATTCTCAGGTTGCAAGTACTGATCTGTGCAGTAGAAATTGTTGTCTTGTTAAAGTATTTATAGTGTATTCTTTTGATTTTCCATTTGGTGCTTAATATCCATTTTGAAGTTCGAATTTCTATCCTGCGATAAAATACTTCCTATCAAAAGCGATTTTATACTCATCACTCGAATTCAAAATCTTTGATTAAACATAAAGAAGTACTTATGTTTTAAGGGAAAAAGGACAAATATATCCTCGAACTATCGTAAATAGTATACAAATACCCTCCGTCATACTTTTTGGACGTTGGTGCCCCTGCCGTTCAAAAACTAGAGCATATTTGCCCTTCACTCTAACAGAAGACCAAATAGGGATACGTAATGCAATCCTACTAAGGGACCCAATTTGATCAATTATTAAATCCAAACATCCATATCCGCCCATCGACCTGATTAACCCACTACCCACCCGTATAACCCATGCATTACTGATGACCAAATAGTCCACTATTGGCTAGTTATTCTTGACATCATCTCATAAAAAATAATGAAAAATATTCTTGACACCAATATGGTCCACTATTGGCTAGTTAGCCACCCAACTATCATGAGTCAGTTTGAGTTTAAGCATGGACAAATTTTTGGTGCCACTTTGTTATTTCCCATATTATCGATCTTAATCTACTCGTCTTTCATTTTATTATCTCTCCATTTCCATCACTCCTTCCCATCATTTCCGCCACCGTACACCTTCCCTCGGTTCACCACTATCCATAGCCTCATCTAATGTATCCTCTCGATTATCATGGTCGTTGGATGCGGCGTCTCAGTCATCCACGAGATGGCTCTCATGTCCATGACTAGAACTGAATCATCTGTTATAATAGGTTAAATTACAAAAATATCCTTTTTCGAGAGCCAATTTTTTTTTGAAGCTACGTGTTTTATATTTTCAAGATTCTTGAATTTTTAGACACCATTTTGATCCTACTAAGTAGGTAGAGATCTCGACGACTCTTTTTCCTCCACGTGTGCCACCAGTGGTTTGAGCAGATTCTACCAAAAGTTTGGCAAGTCATTAATTCAATCTCCCACCGGCCACCATATAAGGAATTTTTATCCTAATTAATATTACGTATTTTATTTTCTAAATTATAAATTTTATGCTACAAAAAAACTTATCTGTAAATATCCTCTAGGAAACTTGATGATACTAACATATTACAGTGCCGATTGCCAAATCGAAAGAAAAAATCTCTTAAAATAAATTTCATAAGTGTAATATTTTATGTCAATTGTTTTTCCCCAGCCCACAACACCACGCACCCTTACCCCATCCCCATTTCACATGTATATATTTCCATAATGTTTGTCTAAATTATATGTAAATTAATATTTTTGTGATAATATTTTCTATTTATTTATTAATTACACCAACAAAAAAAATAAGCATATCACTTATTTTTCAAAAAGATATTTTCGTTTCATACCAAACACACCCATATGATGCCCAAAATATATCATTAATTAGTAGCTGAACATGCATGTCAAACACACAAGGATAACATATAACAATTTGACACACACATTAAATTCTATATTTAAAGCCTTAAAATTTTTATCTATTGGTCTTAATTTTAAAATTATAAATCTCACATTTACATGTACGTAGATATTCTCTCAAAATACAACTAACAAATATATTATAGTATTAAAAGAGAATTGTATTCACGTAACCAAATCGTTTCTCCTAATTTTCCACACAAGTACAACATCATTCAATGCAATTAGAGTTATAATAATTTAAATTATATACAGTAATAAGTAGTGTAAGCACCTACTAAATAGTTGTCTAAATTAATTTTAAATCCATCAGAGACTCTATATAATGGCAGATACAATGTAATTAGGCAACTTTAAACAATAATAAAATGGTTGGCGCCAATTTCTAGCTATTTGTTATAATCTTATCCAAAGACCTATATATATATATTCCTTCTCCATATTATATAATTACAACATCGATCTCTTCATTATTATATCATAAAAAAATAATGAAAGATCTTGACACCAATATAGTCCACTATTGGCTAGTTGGCCACCCAATTATTAGTCAATTTGAGTTTAAGCATGGACAAACTTTTGGTGCCACTTTGTTATTTCCAATATTATCGATCTTAATTTACTTGTCTTTCACTCTACTATCTCTCCGTTTTCCATCACTCCTTCCCATCGTTTCCACCGCCACCCTCCGTTGTGTCACCGCCACCCACAGCCTCGTCCTTTGTATCCTCTCGCTTATCATGGTCGTTGGATGCGGTGTCTCAGTCATCCACGAGATGGCCGCCAACGTCCACGATTGGAATTGGATCATCTGTTATAATAGATTAAATTACGAAAATGCCCTTCTTCAAGGACCCATTGTTTTTTGGAGCTACGTGTTTTATCTTTCCAAGATTCTTGAATTTTTAGACACCCTTTTGATCCTACTAAGTAGGTCGAGATCTCGACGACTCTCGTTCCTCCACGTGTACCACCATGCATTGGTGCCACTCTTTTGTTATTTTGGTGTTGCAACTGGGCAATCCATGTGGCATGTTGGGGTGATCACTAATGCTTCGGTTCATGTACTAATGTATGCTTATTATTTCTTATTTGCTATTGGAAAAAGGCCAAGGTGGAAGAAATTGGTGACTAATATACAAATTGGTCAGTTCATGTTTTGTTTTGTGTGTTTTGGGGCAGTGATATATTATCACTTCACAAGTGAGTTTGGGTGCTCTGGAATTGATGTTTGGTTCTACACTTTCTGTTTTAATGTTTCACTTTTAGCACTTTTTCTCAACTTTCACTTCAAGACCTATGCCAAGAAAACATCATGAAGAGACTCATCAAATAAAAGTATAATTACATATATTGTAACTTTGTGAGCTATATAGTGTGGTTGGTTATAAATTAAACAGTGAGTATATTTGTATTTTTTTAATTCTATAGGGATTGGAAATTAATTAATTAGTGAACTTCATATAAATATATACATATACAAAGTTGGTTGTACTGAGAGTGGAACTTAAGTTTATTTGAAAGTCTGAAGTTCAATAAACAAAGATTGAGTGCATATGATTATCATTTCCCCCCCCCCCCCCCCCCCCCCCGCCCTCCTCCC